AGGAAGAACTTCTTCACAGTTAGAGTGGCCAAGGTCTGGAATGGGCTCCCAAGGGAGGTGGTGCTCTCCCCTACCCTGGGGGTCTTCAAGAGGAGGTTGGATATGCATCTAGCTGGGGTCATCTAGACCCAGCACGCTTTCCTGCCTATGCAGGGGGTCGGACTCGATGATCTATTGAGGTCCCTTCTGACCCTAACATCTATGAATCTATGAATACATCCATTGATGCATCTCTAGCAAAACCAGGGAGGTCATCTTCCCACTTTACTCGGCCTTGGTGAGGCCGCAACTAGAGTACTGCATCCAGTTTTGGGCCCCCCACTTCAGGAGGAATGTGGATATGCTCAAGAGAGTCCAGAGGAGAGACATCTGTATGATCAAAGGCCAAGAGAGCAAACCTTATGAGAAGAGGCTGAGGGACATGGGACTCTTCAGCCTGGAGAAGAGAAGGCTCAGGGGTAACTTCGTGACAGCCTATAACAGGGGCAGGCAATTATTTCGAGCAGAAGGCCACTTACTGAGTTTTGGCAAGCCATCGAGGGCCACATGACAGGCAGCCAGGGGCCGAAAAATATTAATTTTCTAAAATTTTTTAGGGGCCCTGCAGGCCAGATACAATGGCCTGGCTGGCCACATCTGGCCCACGGGCCGCATTTTTCCCATCCCTGGCCTATAAGTACATAAGGGGAGTGCATCAGGACCTGGAGAACAGTTGTTCACAGGAGCTCCCCAAGGAATAGCAAGGTCCAACAGCCACAAACTCCTAAAAGGCTGATTTAGATTAAACATAAAGGAAAACTTCTTCGAAGTTGGAGTGCCCAGGGTCTGGAACAGACTCCCCCATGGAGGTGGTGCAAGCACCTAATCTGGAATCATTCAAAAGGCATTGATCATTTGATCCCTGCAGATTCCCTGCCTATGGCAGGGGGGCTGGACTTGATGATCTCGTGAGGTCCCTTCCAGCCCCTAACGTCTATGAAATCTATGAAATCTATGAATTTTAATACACCTTAGACATGTTCATTCAACAGGTAAAAAGTAGAAAAGAAAAACTCAAGCTCTTTTGTTTTTATTTCTAATTGTATCTAGAGTTTTCCCCTGATCTCTGAACCACTTACGTTGTCTCTGAACACCTGCCTATTCTTTCTCTTTGGTTAACTGTAAACAGTTTGAAAATAAGAGGGAACTATTAACAATAGCTATATTTAAATATATGGAAGGATGCTTTAACTCAGTGATGCAATATTTTTACATCAGCTAGCTCTATAGTGCTCAATCTCTTGATTTCCAGGAAAGGTCTCCACTGTAATTCTTTCAGTTAAAAAGGTCAAGTAAAGAAGGATTCAAACTGATTCCTTAGCTACCGCAAAGGGACTTAAGCAGAGTTGAAGTATCTAATCACCGAAGAACAATTTAAACCAGCTCTCTAGCAGCTGCCACAAAACTCATTAGACACTAGGGCTGTGTGAGGCTTCGGACCGTGCTTCAGATCCAGAGAAGCTTCGGACACTTCGGCATCCAAAACAGCATGTCCAGATCAAAGCATGGGATTCGTTAGGCTTTCTGAAGCGGTTCAGAGCTTCCAAAGTGCTTCAGAAAAGCTTCAGAGCTGCTTCGGAGATCCGGCCATAAGGTATAATGGAGAATCAATGAAATATCTATAACTTTCTTGTTTTTTGTCTGGTTTGGATGAAACCTACAGGGGTGGTAGCATCTGCTGAGATCATGAGGCCTGCCAAGACTCAAGATGATAGGTGCAGAGGTTTGGGGGGAACTGCATCCCAAATTCTTGAAAGCAAAACTCTTGTCACATCTATGTGTTACAACACAGGGGAGGAGAAACTGCAGGGGTTGTAGCCCCTGCTGAGGCCACAAAATATGCCAAGTTTCAAGAAGTTCAGTGCAGGGAATTGGGGGGAACTGCACCTCAACCTGCGGACAAGCAAAACTCGTGACATGGGTGACACCGTGTGCATTAAGGTGCAGCAGGGTGAAAGCTGCAGGGATGGTGGCCCCTGCTGCAGCCATGAAGCCTGCCAGCTGTCAAGGAGATAGGTGCAGGGGGATTCCCTGCACCTCTAGCTGCTGACAGGCAAACCTCATGACATGGGTGCTTGTGCAACTGTGTTTGTCTTGGGGTGGGGGACGGAGGGAACTACTGCAGGCCTGGCTGCTAAGCTACTATGTTCTGAGTTACCAATCCATCATGATTCACTCAGGGACCAGATCAATGCACAGTTTCTAGCTAATGTAACCAGTTAATTAGCAATGATTAACTCCTACAAAACCACAAACTAAGGAGAGGAAAGAATCAATACAAACAATCAACTGCCCCAAGACAGAGACAGTCAGTTGCACAAGCACAAATGTCACAAGTTTTGCCTGTCAGCAGCTAGGGGTGCAGTTGCCTCCAACTCCCTGCCCCGATCATCTTGAAACATGGCAGGCTTTGTGGCCTCAGCAGAGGCTACCACCCCTACAGTTTTCACCCCCCCTGTGTTGTAACACGTAGACATGACATGAGTTATGCTTTCAAGAATTTGGAGTGCAGTTACCCCCAAACCCCTGCACCGATCTTCTTGAAACTTGGCAGGCTTTGTGGCCTCACCAGGGGCTACCAGCCCTGCAGTTTTCACCCTCCTATTGTATAATACATGCACGTGACATGAGTTTTACTTTCAAGAATTTGGGGTACAGTTTCCCCCAAACCCCTGCACAGATCTTCTTGAAACTTGGCAGGCTTCATGCTCTCAGCAGAGGCTATCCCTCCCCCCTCCCCCCTTGCCCCCTCCCACAGAAGTTTCATCCAAATCAGACAAAAAAACCTGAAGTTAGAGATATTTCATTGATTCCCCATTATACCCTATGGCCGGATCTCCAAGGCGACTCGGAAGCTTCTGAGTCACTTCAGCCAGATCGAAGTGGGAACCCGTCTGGAGCTCCGGATCAGATCCCTGGCATCTGAAGTGGCCGGATCCGAAGCCAGATCAAATAGTTGCCTACTCTCACAGGCCTACTAGATACCTCTATTAGACTCCACTGTACATATTAGGGCTTTTGTACACGCTCAGAAAAGATTCAGGTGGAGTATTAGGGTGCCTTGAGGAGCTTAACTTTCTCCCAAGTCCTACACAAGTCTAGTTGTTGCTAAGATTTACCTGAACTCTGCATAAGCCCTCAGACAGGTCCCCGGACATTCCACCATTAAATTCAGTTCAAAGATTGGGGTGATGTTCATCATTTATCCTGTGGCTTAGGGATTAGAGTAGTAATGCAGGAAGTGGGAAACATGGATTCCAAGCTCTCCTTGTCTCAAAAGATTTTTACTCCACGTCTCCCACTTCCAAGGAAAACACCCTAACCATCAGGCTAGGTGAGTGCACTCCTCACTTCTCCTGCTGACGCTTCTCCAGAGAGAAGCCAAGAGGAGAAGGTTAATGTGGCCAGAAAAAGAACAACTGAGAGGGAGCCTAGTAGTTGTGGACTCCAAGCTGAAGAGAAGTCCTTATCTCATTCCAACTACCACAGTTGCATCTGTTTTATTAACCCACTAATATCTAATATAAAACGCAGAAACAATGTTGATAGCAAACAAAAGGGAGCCCATCACTTTGCCTAATTCCCCTGAGGACTGGCAGATGTAGGTTTCAGTCCCTGCTACCAGAACTTTTGTGACATTTACATTTACATTTCTTTTGCGACTATTTAATATAAAATGCATCAAGAGCTGTGGGATCAATTCTCTCTCAAATATGCATACAATTATAAAGAATGGTGGAAATAGGAGGTAGAAGGAGGCAGAAGTAGTTCACCGCCATTAGAAGTAGCTCACCTGGTTATAGTGGGCCATGTTATAGTCTGTTCCTCCATCATAAGCTCTCAGTACCCCACTTTGAATACTCTGCAGAAAATAAACAGATTCAAAGAGTAGATAACAATGGTTCATTGTCAAAGAGGCAGGATTCACATTGTCAAAGTGGCAGGACGTCCGTCTCAGGCCTGCAGAGCAATATGAAGCATTCCATACTTTCATTAAAGGATAAGATAAATGAATAGAGATCACACTTATAAAATTTGTGGATGATACCTAGCTAGGACAGAGTTAGAACTCAAGCTCATCTTGATAAATCAATAAGATGATTCAAAAAAACAAATACAACCCTCTTCACATAGGAGTAAAATCAAATAAATAAAAACATAATGAAGAATAACTGGGTAGGCTGGTATACTATAGAAACAAACCTGCACTTTACAGTGGCTGGCAAATTACATAGGAACCAACCATGTAATGCTGCAAAAAAGGAAGAAGTCATTATGCAATGTACTAAGAAGAGTGTTGTGTGTAATTACTTCACACTATTTAACTGTAGTGCTGTGTCTATTTGCGGAACGACAGCTTAGAGAAGTCGACAGGGGAACATTCAAAATGATAAATGTTTAGGGAACATCTTGTATGCTACAATGATGAAGGAATTGGATTTATTTATCCTGGAAAAGAGAAGATTGAGGGAGACATATTAACAGAGTTCCAGCATGTTTAATGGTATCATAAAGCAGATAGTGATGAATGTTCTCCATTCCTACTAAGGGCTAATCAAGGTACACTTGACCTTGGCTCAAAGCAGGGGTATGAACAAGGTGATCTTTTGAGGTCCTTTCCAGTCCTTTGTCATTGCTATATTACTCTTTATCCTGGGAATGGGTGGCAGTTGGTTACCAACTTGCAAGATGATTTACATCTGATGAAATTTAAAAAAAAATTAACAATGATGACCTTGAGATTGTTGCATGCTTCTGATATTTTGATACCGAGGCATCTGCTTTGCAGAGAATGCTAAATAAGCTCTGTTAAAGGATGTAAAAAGGTAACTTGGAAAATGTTATCTGGAGTGCTTATTTCTAAACATTAACATGTATTGCTGACTAATATGGAGAGCTGACCAAAATTAGTTTTTAATGCTATGTACAAATTCTTACAATATAAATAAAAAGAACTTAAGTTTCAGAAGGTTTACCTGTTTCCAGTGAATCATATTTTGCACTGACGTTCCAGCTGGGGCATGTGCTGTATATACATCCACTCGACTCTGAGAGAAAATATTTATATTTCAAACTAAGTAATATATGAGGAAGCAATTCCATTTACTTATTTACAGACAATTTTATAAATATTCCATTAAAAAAGATACTCAAGGATCTGTTGTAGATTTATACTTACCATATTTAAATTGCCTGGATCAAACCCAGCCAATATAAACATGACATTGGTGCAGAGCTTTTTAAATATGGGACGGCTGCAAATTTCAGCAGAAATCACTTCATCAAAATAAGTGTTTGGTAAGAATTCTTTACTTCCAAAAAGCATCTGTAAAATTAATAAAAATCAATTACATTAGATATAAAAATGAAGTTTTCCCTTCTTTCAGTCTACCACTACAAAACTTCTTCCTAAAATATATCTGAATTCTTTGCTTAATGCGTGTTTAGATACATTAACTGAAGGGCATTCCACCTCTTGGGAAACTGTTCTCCATACTATTAAGAATTCAGAATCTTCAGTTAATTCCTCCCTGTTTCATTCATTAAATAGACTTAAATAATTCTTCTCCTTCTTGGCTTTGAGAGTCTTCAGATATGTGTGAAAAATTACCCTTTGTCCCAGCCATGTTTTGGCCAAGTTTTTGGCCAAAAGATTAGGGAAGAAGACATCCAACTCCCTTTTAACAGTAGCACAAATAGCACACTAAATCTTCTAAAAATGTCTTTGTGAACTAGCTGTAGTGGTTCCATAGTAATTCATTTTAGAGTCTGCATTATAGGAATTTAAGTTACGCAGTTCTTAATTCATCTGAAGGATTGACATACCTTGATAACTGTATCACTGAATAATGTCAGCTTTGCCAATGGAGATTTAACATGTTTGGTACTGGCTACTGGAGCTAAGGCAAAGTATAGTTTGATTCTTCTTGCCAGCTGCGGCATAGTTGAAAAGGCTATAAAAGCTAGAGAAAGAAAATACAACTCACTATTTCAAATATATCAAACACAGCATTTAGTTGTTTTTATTAGAAGTATTTTTCAAATCCTGATGAAAAGAAAATATGCAGTTATTGGATAGTCAACTGAGGAAAAAAATAAAAAAACAGAAAATGGGGCATTCTCAGTTTAAACATTGCCTGGTTACATCAGCAATTTCCTACTGGAGTGTCAAGTTTTGTGAAGGGTGCAAGTGCCCAGGCTGAGATTACACTGACAGTCTGAAGCATTCGCAGTGTGGAATTCATCTGAAACAAAGTTTAAGGCTTGTGTCTTACGTAATGAAGGATGGTCTTAGAATTTTTTTTTTAATATTATTATTTTTCGTAACTTGAAAGTAGCACTCTATATCTGTTCACTGGTCACAGGTGATAAAATGAGACTTTCCCATTTATATGTTCTTTCTGATTTACAAAATTAATTCTTTGGGTACAACAATGAATTGTTGCTGCTGCTAATACCATTGCAGAATCCATGCAACACTGCATGGATGAGCATATGGTTCATGCATCAACAGATGAATTCACTCAGTTCCTAGGGGACTCTCCCTGTTAAGGGAAATACAACTCTTTTTAAAACCATGGCCACCAGGATGAAACTTTAATTCCTAAAGTAGACGGCAATAAGCTGTATGAGCTTAGTGTTACTTGGCCAAGATGAATCTAGCATGTTCAAATACAATTTGCCAACCATAACCTCAGGTTTTAAACTGTAGGTGAGCTTTGCTTAGCTTGTGGTTAATAAAAACTATCTTTTCCCAGTGTCAATGGGCTCAATAACAGAATCTAAATGCCATGGTGTGCTTTACGTATATACTTCAGTTAATGATTATGTGCCAGTCCTGGCACACAAGCTGGCTTTCAAATGACACAGTCACTGAGACATGACATCGCTGTGAATATTTCTCCTGTGGTCATACATAATATTTCCTGCAAAAAGGGGTCTGGAGGTCAGAGGAAGAATTTATCTTAACATTGAGACTGTTTTTTTCCACAGTATTCCCTTCAACTTACCTATAGTGGTGCCTTGGGAATGGCCAACATAATACAGTTGCTCTTGTCCAGTTTTCTGCACAATGAAATGTATCACTGCTGGAAGGTCATACTTAGCCATTTCATCATAGCTACAAAAGAAACAGTAGACGTATTTATATTAGATGTCTAAAGTAAGAAGTCTATATTTAAACACCAAAAGTCCTCAAATTACAAAACAAATAACATGTATCATATTACAAGGTTCTTCATATTTTCCCCCTCAAATTGGCACAGAATGTGGCTTTTTGCCCCATCCACTTGGGCTAAAAATTGGGATAAGAAATCTTGTTTAAGCTGTATTTTAGCTACTTCAATCAGTAGGAACCAAAGCCTGAACTGAAAAAAATAAGAAAACATTGTTTTAGATGAATGCCTTTTGTATCCCAGTAAGCTGAATGTAGGTATAATCAGAGTCTTTATTATAATACTAATGTCCATGGATAGGTGCTGGATATTTTAGCATGGCTATGTTTAAACCTTTATGTCCTTTGGTAGGTGCACCTCCTTCTGGTAAGAATTAATACGAGCTCAAGATAAAACTTGTGAAATCTACAGAACAACAAGTATGATAGACACATAAATGAGGGAAGGAAAATTGTTGTGGCCAAGGTTGCTATGGTGAGGATCTAATTTTCTGAGTTACTTAGCACATTATTTCAGTGAAGCTGGAGACTTTCAGTAATGCTGAAAGCCTAATAAGACAATGGTGCACTCAAAATTAATGGTTATGTGTTAGTATTTTTGATCTAATTCATTATATACATATATATATATTAGTGTAGTTGCACAATGTTTTCACAGTACCATGTTTTAACCATAACAGGTTGGTAAAGTTAGGTTTTCCAAATATTATAATTCACCTGAAAGCCCAGAATTCCTTTTGCTTCACGGAAAGGGTTTTATGTTGTTTAGACCAGGTATTCCCCCTGCTATTTCCCATCCAAACATCATAGCCAGCGTCTGCTAGAATGAAGCCTAGGCTATTGTTAGCCATATTAGTGATCCAGTTGCTGGCATCTGCAAGCAAACCATGCTGCAGAAGCACAACAGGCTTTGGACCTGAAAGAGAGATACATTGACTATTCCACTGAACCAGTGATGGTAAATAACTGACAGTCAACATTTCTGACATAAGTTGTACACTTTAGAGCAAAGTTCCAACACTTCAGACTTACTTTAGACATGGCCTCATGGAGGGCTGCCCAGGCCACTGCCCAGGCCAGCCGCCACCTAGTTCTGCTCGGAGGGGTTGCTGGGCGCCAACCCCAGGGCCCCGCATACCTGCTGGCACCCTTCAAGTTAGCCCCAGCCTGCCCAGCCCTTGGACAGGTCACAGGGGCAAAGCTGGATTTGTGCCCGGGTTCCTGGAACTGCCATCTGGTCTAGCCCGCCAGATCAGTCCCCTTCTGGATCTTCGGGTTGACATGGCCTTGTGGAGGGCTGCCCAGGCCCCTGCCACCCCGGCCCGGGCCTGGGCAGCCACCCGGTTCCACCACCCGGTTCCACTCAGAGGGGTCACTGGGCGCCCACCCCGGGGCCCCGCATACCTGCAAGGATCCTTCAAGATAGCCCTGGCCACTTTACACTTACACTTTAGACGTAAGTTCCAACACTTTTCATATTGCAGCCCTCCTTAATAACTCCGAAGTGATGTGCATGGATGTGGAAAATGAAGTGATACAGCCAGAACCAGATGTAGCATGTGGCAGCCATTTTTTAATTGTAGAATGTGAAGTGGGAAGGGATCTCAAGGGCTATCTGGTCTAAACCCCCAGTTGAAATACAGAAATGCTGCTCTCAGTCCCTTCTGACCAATGCTTACCAGCTTCTTTTTGAAAACCTCTAATGAAGAAGGTTCCACATATTTCCTGGGAAGTCTATTTTACTGTCTCACTGTTCAAAAAGTAAGTTTTTCTTAATATCTAATCTAAACCTGCATTAGTGAAATTTGAAGGTACCATAGGCCATATACAGACATTACACTTTTACTGGTATTAGTGATCAGAAAATGGTCTATACACTTAAGAGAACAGAGGTTTAGCATACACAGACAACCTGTTACAACCTGGTCTAAGATTTACACCACTGCCCTTCCCACCGCTTCCCACCTTGGGTGAACATGTGTTCTGTTCACTACCAATTGACACTATACCGCTTACAGAAAACCATATAACCTAGATCTTTTCTGCTTCAGGTTTCTTGAATGTCTCTACCTAGCCTTAGGATCATCCCTAGCCAAACTGTCCCAAACAAGTGTTGTCTAAATTATTCCTGAAGTTAAGCAAACTACCATGTTGCAAAAGTACAAGACACACTGGTCAAAAATACTAGAAACATCCTAACTTGTCACAGATAAAGCTGGAGACAAGGGCATTTTTCAATGTCCCAGCACTGCAAGTTTATTAGTTAAAGACTGCTATCATGGCTCCCACTAATCACCTTTTCTGCAATCTAAACATGCTTAGTTCACTCTAGCTCTACTTACACAGTGTGCCTTCCAACTTATTTAGCATCTTCATTGCTTCTTCATTGCCTCTTTTGGACCCTCTCCAACTTCTCTGCATGCTTTTTAAAATGCATGTAGCTGCATCACATAGGTGACTCCTGGTGATCTTTCTCAGCAGTGCTGCCACCCAGCCAGTTATCTCCAGTTCCATATTTGTGCTTTTTGATAATTCTCCCCAGTTATAGAAATTTACATTTCTCTGGGTTAAACCTTATCCTCTTGTCTCTAGCCCACCTTGCCAATCTCTCAAGATCACTCTTAATTCTACTTGTGTCCTCCAGTGTGTTTGTATCATCTGCAGGTTCGCTCACTCAAATGCTTAATAAACACATTAAATAGAGCCAGACCTCCCGTCATTCCAACACTGATATATTTATACTTATCCTTTGTTGTTGTCACTGACTCAATATCCAACTCGTAGTAATTCTATCAAGCGCATGTTTCTCCAATTTGCTTATGAGAAGAACTTTATCAACAACCTTCCTAAATCTAAGTACAATATGTCCACTGTATTCCCTTCATCCTCCCAATTAGTGACTTTATCAAAGAAGGTGATCAAGTTTGTTTGGCATGATTTGCTCCTAAAACAAAATGCTTATTGAGAGTAGATTTTACAACACATCTGGATGGATAGATATCAGATTAACAAGAGCCTTCTTGCCTTTCTGAACCTCCTCTTGTCCTCCACAACATTTCCTGCAATATCAGTATCTTCCTGCATTACTTTCTATATTGGGTGTCCAAAATGGGCCGTATTCAATTCAGATTTGGATTTGATCCAAATTGGGGACAGTAATTGGATTCATTGATTCAGATTACTGTCCCCAATTCAATTAGGCTGAATCTGAATCTGAAGATTTGATTAATCAAATCTGCTTCTGGCCCACTTCCGGGTCAACTGATGAGCGCGCTGGCAAGCCCAACACGCTCCTGTGGGATGCTCCATCCGCCCCACCATCACAGTGTTCACGAGCCACCTGGTACCTTGAGGTATGTAGAAGAAACATATAAACTTGTGTCTATGTCCAAATCACCAAATCTTTCCGAATCTCTCTGAATTGATTTGGAGGGTTCCAATTCGATTCAGAGAGATTAAAGTGTCTCCTGATTCAATTTGGATTCAGAGATTCAGCCACCGAATCGGGCCGAATCTCCACCAAATCAAATCAGGGACCAGAGCTTTGCACAGCCCTAACTTTCTATGGCTTCTTCCCAGACTTGTGTGGCCATGTTCCTGCACCTTGCATTCATACTCTGTTCCCTGAATTTGGTATAATTATTAAGTACCTACTAGCAAACACATTTTGACCTGATGTGAACATTATTATTGAGCAGGTGGACACGAGTTGAAACCTTCCCAGACAACTTGGGAAAACCAGCTGCTAAAGCCCATCTGAAGAGCTGCTTGGCATTGACTGCACAGGAATGGGCCTGCTTAATTCCTGAAGGGGCGTAATGCAAATAGTGAAAAGTTCCATTTCGTCTTTATGAGGATATGGACCAAACTGGTAGTAGCACACACTTTCCAGTTTCTGAACCAAATTTACCATCCTGCTGCTATCCCTAGAAGACCACCTTTGCTCCCTTCCTCTCCATTCTGTGTTCCCTCCTAGTTCTAACTATAGAACAAGAAGCTGTGGAAATATTTAAAACTTAACATGGCACTAGTTTAAATAGACTACTTTAAATGACGTGCATACTGCTTGCCACACAAGATTAAATAGATCTAAGTGCCAAAATGTTTATTTAAAATGAAGGTCAGTAATCTGGTGTTTTTCCACTATATTACAAATGAATAAATTGTTAATAAATAATAGTTACTCAAAATTAGGCATACAACAATGAATTAACAAAGATAAAGTTTTGTGCAAAATGAAATGAACCAACATATAATTCAAAATAACAAAAATTAACCACCAATCAGACAAGGTCAAAATAAGATTCAAGGATACATTAATCGTTTGAAATAGCAATAGGGCATTTAAAAGCAAATTTGAGTCTTAAATTAATACTACCAAGTCTTAACAATAAAATGATGAGTAGTATTTACACTTAATTTAGGAAAATAATAATGGAATTTTTATAGAAGTGATAAATTATCAAATCCCCTGTGAACTACCTGCATTTTCCCTGGATTCCTTATTACGAAGTAATTAGCAAAGCCTTAAGAAAATCATTTTTAGCTCAGCAGCTCCCCCTGCTGCAATCTTCCTGCTGTGCCACCATTTACTATGCTAAAAGGGTTTTGGGGAGTGATATATTTTATTGGACCAACGGCATAGTTGAGATAAAGTTAGACAGATTATTGAACGCAAAGCATTTATCTTCATTGGTTACCTGTAGTTAGATACAAAATACAAAATGCTTATCTAAGACTTGGCTCTCTAACAGCAGTACTAACACAACAAATTAAACCTTTTTTATATTACAGTAAATAATTGCTTCCTAGGACCTCTGTCAGCTGGACACCATTTTTTATCATTTTAACTACATCCCAGGCTAGTTTAAAATTCTTTATCAATTAATAGAAATAATATTTCATTATTTATATATCAAACACACATACCAAATAAACAAATCTACTAGAGTTCCCTTAATTCTAACGATATTTTCAGAATAGTGACACTATATGTTATTAACTAGAATTTATGTCAGTTGGCATACTACATCAACATTTATAGAAGGCCTGAGTACAGTCAGTCTCATCTGCCTTCCTGACACTGCTCCAAGTTGACCTGCCTCTGCCTCCTCCCCACAGTACTGAGTGGAGAGGCTTTAGTCAGCTGTGAAAAGAAAACCTGACACCATGAATCCCCATCAGCTGCGAACCACCTCCATGAAACCAGTCATGGATTCCCTGGGCCCTTTATAAGGCTCCTTCTCATATTTATGTAACCTAAGTGTAAACGATTTATGGAAATGATTCAGGGATACAAGTTCCTTATTTAATAAAGACGCATGATTTACCTATATCATTCTCATTCTCTTTCCCGTGTGGAATTCTTTGAATAGTAAGGATATAGCCATCTTCTGTCTCAACATTATACTCCTCAGCTGGGTATCCTCTGTAGGAGATCATTTCAGTCTGGCGGAAGAATAATGAAAGGATTTTCTCTCTCACTGTCAAAGCTTTCAGTTTTGAAGGCTTTTCTAGGCGACGTGGGCACATACAGTTAAACTGTAAATCATATCTAATAAGGTCGACAACGTTCTCGTCATATTTTCATGGTTTTATGAGAGGTTCTGTCCATTTAATCAACTAATTATGTAACAACTACCATGAACATGTCATTGTTTTCCAAAGATTTTCCCTTCCCTTTAAAACCATACTTACAATATTCATCCATACTTCAGGATTAATATTATGATTATCTTCAAACGGTTCTTGCACTGATTGAGTTCCATGGATCACAAACGTCACTGCTACTGCCAGCCACATCTTGGGTCTCCCTGAAACAATGTGTGTAACATGGCAAAGTATACTTCAAATACAATCTGGTCTTATCAATTTGTTCGTAATATAAGTTACTACCATTACTATTATTACTAATAAATAATATTTTACATACAGTATAACATTGCAAAATAAGTTTCCCTCTTGTACTTGATTATTCTACCAGTTTATAATTGCCAGGACACTTGTCTCATAAACAATTAGCATTATTACTCACATGATTCAAGATTCAATTGATGAATTCAATTAAAGAACAATGTGTGCAATGCATAGTGCTACTTATTTTTTATAATATTAAGATAATACCATTTTATAGTATACAGAAGACAACTGAAGCAAAATGGAGATTTATTCAGGTTGGTCCCATTAGATACCCAGGTTTTGATTGACTTTGTTCCTTATAGCAGTAACAACTGTTGAGTCAATTGGTGTTAGCCAGGTGAAGACCTTCCCTGTCTATTTGTACTAGCTGTAGAAAAATGCCTAATTACTATATTCTCAGTCCAGGGGCTCATCCAACTTGCGGGGGTGGCCAGCTGTCTTTGTGGGCAGAGAGCAGGGCTGTCCACAATTTTCACAGGCTTATTGTGGTGGGAACCCTCACACTTCTGGCCAAGAGTCTCCAGTGGCCCCACCCCCTGCTGCTGATTGGGGGAGAACTGTCCATCATATGGCCCCTCCTCTCATCACTGACTGGTGGAGAGGGGTGGGGCCACATAACAGGCAGTAGCAAGGTGTGGGGGCGGCAGCCATATTGCCTCCTCACATTCATGCGAGCAGCCCACTTCGTGCTGGGCTACATGGCCAGAAGGACTACTGGCTCCCACTGAAGTGCCATCATTTTATTTTTAGTCTTTTTTGTCTCCACAGATTTCACGGCAACCACTCGATTTTGAGAAATCCACAGAATCACGATTTGAGTAGATATCTACATATAATTATTTCTTCCTAGTCAGTACATTTAGAAAGTACTGTGCCTTTCCATTACTTCAGTAACACATACCTCACAGAGACTTTCTTGCACTAAGCATTGCTGGTATTCATCAGGAAAAAAATGAAGTCAGTTTCAGGGGAAATTCCATTACTCTCAACACCACTTGTGTGAGAAATTGTCTATAGACACTTCCAAAAGTAAATTAGTAGGAGTCCCACTATATTTTTACAACTTAGCCATTACAATTTGTGGGGCGCATATTTCCATTGAATACATCCAAGAGTGGACTCCTAGTTTACCACATGGTTTTGACATTAAATACTCAATTCTGCAATAACTTAACTTTCCAGTAGTCCCTCTGAAGTCAATAGAGCTGCTCATGTGAACAACAGTAGTCAGAGTTAGCTCATGATATTGAATAGTTCTCAATATTACAGTGATTAACAACCTTGCAATGAAGCCTTAACAGAAATACTTTAACAATTATATATATTTGCATATATTCCAGCAGCAAGGAAAGGCATATACAACTAAAGTATTGGTGGATTACATTTTCCTTGCACCTATCAAATAATAATGTGTTCTTTCTTCCATCAGTGCACAAAGGATTCAGCTGTTTCTTCCCCATTAAGAGAATTATACCCTTACACCTCTCCCTCTTGCAACAACATTATTAAGATAGAACTAATGGCAAAGAGGAGGACTGGACCTTCACCTGGTAAAGAAGAAACTTTATGTGAGTCAATATTCTCAGTGCACCAACATTTCTATTATACATCTACACAAGTCTTTGCAGCAGTTACAAAAGAACAAAACAAAATTTGACTCAGAGTAATTAAATAAACAAGATAAGAATCTATATACAAGTGCTACCACAATAAAAATAAATTTCAAAAGTTGATCTTAACAACCTTTTGATATTTCCCCTTATTGTAGTGGAAGGAATAAAAAAAAATTATACACAATTCCTAACAAATTATGTATACATCTCAATATTAATTATATCCCAAGAGACCTGATTAAGAAAGGTAAACATGCCAAAAATAATTTTCATTTTGCTAATAAATGCCACGCACACTATCATGCCACTTTTTTGTGAACAACTGTATTCTGTATCTACTTTTCCCATCAGAGAAGTACTGCTTAAAAAAAGAATAGTTACCCAGCCTAATGCAGATCAGAAATTCTTAACAGCCAATATAGAGCTTTGCAGGGATTCAGTGACAGGAATGACAGCATCTGAGATGGACACAGTACCAAGATAGTGTCAGCGGTTGCATTTGAACCTTGCTAGAGGTGTGGCAACCAGGAACAAGAGAAAAGAGGTGTAACTCCACTACCAGGATGTTAAACACACAGCTTATCAGCAGAGCAGGTCTAAAAACAAAGTGCTTGCATTATTTGGGAGTGTGTACTTTACAAGAAATTAAAAGAAATTAGGCATTTATATATGTTTAAATGAGATTTTCCTTAATAAATCATTTGAATTTATAATGGGCCTTGAATTTGGAAAGTGATTCCAATTAGCTTGTTTGTCAATCACTAAAATGCCATCCTTTTTACTGGAAACTCTTTATTTCTTACGATAGTGATAAAAATTCACTGTACAAAATTAGGATCAAGAGGTGAAAAATAGGAGAAGGGAATTAATTCTGGAAAAAGTATTGGAATCTTTAATAGAAAATATTGGAATCCTTAATAGGATTAATGAGTTTTGCTTGTCAGCACCTTGAGGTGCAGTGTCCCAGAAATTCCTGCACCTATCTCCTTGAAGCTTGGCAGGCTTCATGCCTCCAGAAGGGGCTACCATCCCTGCAATCTTCATCTGAATTGGGCAAGAAATTACAAAGTTATAGGCATTTTCATGATTCACCATTATAGCCTATGGGTGAAATAGCAAAACTGTGTCAAAACAGCGAAACAGTTGTGACAAAACTAAATGAAACACCAAAACAAAATAATGTCCCATTGAAACAGTGAAATCAAAGTCAAAATGACACAATGCTGTTTCTGTCGCACAGCTCTGGTGCCCAAGGAATGGAGGGAAGGAGTTTTGGTACTCATTTAATAAATATGTTCACTAAGAAAAATCAAACGGACTCCAACTTATTTTTGAGATTATACTTATTGTTATTACTTTCTAATTACTTAAAATACTTATAACTGAACACTTCAGTATCAGTGCCAAAGTGATGTCATTCTATTTGCTTTTCAGTGGAATAGTTTACATAAGAAAATCCAGCACTATGAGGAAAAAAAAACAATGAAGTCTGTGTATGTATTATCAGAAAGTCTACAAAGACAAGTCCTTACACATGTTTGTCTAAACTGTTCTTGAAAACATTCAATAAAGAAAATTCCAAAACCTCCTTAGGTGACCAATTCTAGGCCTTCTTGCCTTTATAGGTAGAAAGATTTTGAATGTGAGGAGGTAACATGGCTCAACTGATTTTTTCTCTATTTCGATTCCATCACATTTTTTATCAAAGGTCTTATGGGAGGTTAGGCAAGCAATGGAAGAGTTTTTCATAGACATAGACATCAGGGCTGGAAGGGACCTTGGAAGATCATCGAGTCCAGCCCCCCGCCCAAAGGGCAGGAAGTCAGCTGGGGTCATAGGATCCCAGCAAGATAAGCATCCAGTTTCATCTTGAAGGTGTTCAATGAAGGCGCTTGAACCACCTCTGGTTGCAGGCTGTTCCAGACCTTGGGGGCTCGGACAGTAAAGAAGTTCTTCCTTATGTCCAGCCTGAAACGATCTTGAAGTAGTTTGTGACCATTCGACCTCGTCATCCCTTGGGGCGCTCTGGTGAACAAACGTTCCCCCAGATACTGGTGGTCACCCCTGATAAACTTGTAGGTGGCCATCAGATCACCCCTAAGCCTGCGCTTTTTCAGGCTAAAGAGCCCCACGGCTCTCAGCCTGTCATCGTAGGGTCTGCTTCCCTGACCTCTGATCATGCGCGTGGCTCTTCTCTGGACTCTCTCAAGCTTCTCCACATCCTTTTTGAATTGTGGAGCCCAAAACTGGACACAGTACTCCAGCTGCGGCCTCACTAAGGCCGAGTACAGGGGGAGAATGACGTCCCGGGATTTGCTTGAGAAGCATCTATGGATGAAAGC